TACTTGGGAGGCAGCGGCAAATGGATCTATTGAGTTTGAGGCCAGCCTGGTCTACAGAGTTCCATGTGGTCCAGGCTGGCCTCAAACTCATGGCCACCCTCCTACCTTAGCCTTCTGAGTACTGGGATTTACAGGCATCAGGTACCATGCCTGGTAAGTTTGAGTCTGTGAGACTACATGTGTATGTGGGTGCATGTACCTGTGTGCACACAGAGGCCAGAAGACACGTTGGGAGTCTTATTTCCTCACTTATTCCTTTGAGGCGGGGTCTCTCCTTGCCTGGGACTCATGTTTTCTCAGCTAGGCTGGAAGCTCCAGTGATCCGTTAAGCTTCATTCCCTTTGAAACTGGGGTTATAGGGTGTGCAGGATGCCTGATTTACTATGTGGGTGCTGGGATTCAAATTCCAGTCCCCTTGATTGTGTAGCAAGGACTCCTAACCACCTCTCCAGTCCCGTTCTATTTTTTTTAATTAACTCATTAATTAGTTAAAATTTTGAAACAGGGTCTCTCTGTAGCCCTGGTTGTATAGAACTCATATGTAGAGCAGTCTGGCCTTGAACTCACAGAGAGCCTCCTGCCTTTGCCTCACAAGTGTTGGGACTAAAGGTGTGCACCACCATGCCCTATTTTTATCTTTTGTTAGTTTTATTCTTCACAAATTTCTTTTCAGAGATGATAGATCAAATTTGGGATAATTTTAACTTAGAAATTGAAAAGAGAAAACTGAGGCTCAAAAAGAAGATATTTGCTTAAAGCTTGTCTAATCTTAAGTAGAGGATCCAATGACTGAGTAATAAATACCATTGGACTATTGGTCCAAGTCAGTCATAGTGATGACTAGCGATTTTCTACCAGTTCCTGTCAAGATTTCTGTGCCTGCCTTGGAGGGTGGGGTGGGGGTATGACTGCACATTTACAATGCTCTCCTAATTTATCATGAACTAGCCTCTCAATTGACCCATTGGAAGTAAATTAATAACCCTCCTAATTCTGAAAATAACCACACACACACACAAAGTTAATCTTTGTATGTATCATTATGTCAATGTATCATTATGTTTTGTTTTCTGATTTTTCAAGCTGGAAGAAACCCAGAAATCCTATAGCTTATTGTTCTTATTGTAATAGAACATCTGGATATTAGATTTATAATTTATCAACAAAGGAAAAGCAAGGTTTGAAAATATATACATATATGTCAATTCAAAACTTTGTTGTATCTCTGAAGAGACCACAATGTTGACCCTAGCCCAGTCCCAGTGTCCACTGATAATCTGGGTGATAGTATGAATCTTTCACTAGAAAAATGCACAGAAATGCACAATATTTCACAAAATACACTGTGGAGATGGCTTTCTGAGAAGACCTTTCGGTTCAGAAACAGCTTCTGCCAGACCTTGCAACCAAGTTAAAAATAAGCTTTGAGACCATTTAAAACTATGTACTCAATCTGCTTCCCGACTGTGTATTCAACTTGTTTAACTGGTCTTTCAGGAAACAATGTAACCAACTTTGGATGTTTGGACACCCAGGTAATCAGTTTTTACAACCTAAGCTAAACACTTAGCTTTAATCTTTAACTATATTTATTCTGACATGTCCAAACCCAGAATAGGTATAAGTGACTCTGGACTCTGTGTGTGTGTGTGTGTGTGTGTGTGTGTGTGTGTGTGTGTGTGTGTGTGTTTTGTGGTAATCATTTACTGAAACCAGTCAATAGGTTGAATTAAAGTAAACAAAATCCACCATAAATTTTGGAAGCATCATTTGTTTGAAGTTTTGAGTGCTATTCTGGGTCAATAGGAGCAAGTCCCTTGTAAAACTATTAAAGTTTTTCTGCAAAAAATTCCCTCATTCTTTCCTCATACTGTGTTTTCTGGGATGCTCAATAAATACAGAACAAAATTCTTTGTTAGGGTCAGACAGGAAGGCAGGCAGATATGACACACGCATCCACCATGTCTCCCGAATGATAGGATTAAGAGTGTGTGTGCCACCACTGTCTGGCCTCTATGTCTAATCTAGTGGCCAGCTCTATCTCTGATCCCTAGATAAGATTTATTGGGGTGCACAATATATCACCACAATATTTCAAACTCCATTTTCCTCATGTCTAGTGACAAAAAAAATATGATTACAAAATGCTGTCTTTTTCTGTGCAACTTTCAGCAGAAACTGAATCTGTAACCTATGCCATATAAAGAGAATGATGCCAGAGAGTGAAGTAACCAGCGTGATAAAGAGCAAGGAAACAGTGAGAGTGAGAAACAGCGAAGGGGGAAAGACTGGAAGATGAGAAGGAAAGAAGGAAAGACAAGAATTCTGGGTGCCAAAAAGGGAAGAGAGAGAATGTGTGAAATTATGGTTTTTAGATACTTACAATTTTAAAATATTTAGTTTTTAAAAATCTTCTACTTAAAAACTTATAAAAACACTTATTTACTTTCTGTGCAGAAGTGTGTTGCCTGCATGTATGTATGAGCACCACATTCATGAATGAGTGTGCTGCCTAGAATCCAAAGAAGCCATGAGAGGGCATCAGATCTGTGTGTGGTGATATTTTATCTGTATCCCCCAATAAAGTTTATCTGAGGATCAGAGGAAAAAACCAGCCAGTACAGTAGACATAGAAGTCAGGCAATGGTAGCACACGCCTTTAATCCTGTCACTCGGGAGGCAGGGATCGGTCTGGATCTCTGTGAGTTCAAGGCCACACTGGAAACAGAGCCAGGCGTGGTAGCACACGCCTTAAATTTCAACACTAGTTAACCATAAAGGTCTGGAGATCTGCACAGACAGATAGGAAGTGACAGAGCCGGGCAGAGAGGAAGTGATGTAGCCGGGCAGAGAGGAAGTGAGATGGCGGAACAGAAAGGCATATAGGCGTGGGTAGACAGGAAGCAGGTCTCTTTGGAGACTGAAGGTCTGTGAGATGAGGTTGGCTTGTGGCTTGCCCTTTCCTCTGATCTTTCAGCTTTTTCCCCAGTTTCTGGCTCCGTGTTTTCTTTTTTATTAATAAGACCATTTAGCAATTCATCTACATCTGTGGAGTATTCCTTTACATTGTGTGAATATATGTTGCTGTGGTTGGTTTAATAAAGAAGCTGACTGGCCAATAGCTGAACAGGATAAGTTTAGGCGGGAAAGTCAAACTGAGAATGCTAGGAGGAAGAAGGGCAGGGTCAGAGGAGTCTCGAGCAGACAGAGAGAAGCAAGATGGACATGCTGTACTGAAAAAAGGTACCAAGCCACATGGCAAAGCATAGATAAGAAATATGGGTTAATTTAAATGTAAGAGTTAGCTAGTAACAAGTCTGAGCTATCTGTTGAGCATTTATAACTAATGTTAAGCCTCTGTGTGGTTACTTGGGAGTGGCTTGCAGGACAGAAACTTCTGCCTACACAGATCCCCTGGAGCTGGAGTTACAGAGAGTTGTAAGCCATCAGGTGGGTGCTAAAACTAAACCTATTGTGGTATTTAGTTTTCCCATAGGAAACTGTTATTTAAAAATAGGATGGAAACATGACAGCTGGATCAGTTGAGTAGAAGCGTGTACTACTCTCAAAGTGGACTCGAGCGGGCACCGTTACTAACCCACAGCTGTTTGTAACTCCAGCTCCAGAGATGCTGACTCCTTGGACTCCATCACAGAGCAACCACATGCATGTGCACAGACATACCCACAAAATAGATAATAAAAATTTTGTATATATGCTGAACCAGGTGTAGTGGTACATGTTTCTAATCTCAGCACTGGGGGGTGGAACTAGGAATATCACAAGTTTGAAGGCATCCATGGCTACATAGCAAGTTCAGGGCCAGCCTGAACAATTACCCTGAACAGACAAATTACCCTGTCTTTAACAATAAACGCGATCAAACACGACTTTAAAAAACTACACAGGGAAAAATATCTTAGAAATAATAATTTAAAAATCCTTAATATTACCACCTTTATTAACTTTTTACATAATTTTTAAATTTGTCTGTGTCTGTATGTGTTGCGTGTACATGTATGGGTGTGTATGTACATGGAGACCAGAGATTGGCGCTGGTCAGCTTCCTCAGTGGCTCTCTACCTTATTTCTTGAGACAAGTCTCTCATTGAACTTGGAGCTCACAGATTCAGCTAGCTAGGCTGGCCAGCAAGACCTACAGATCCTCCCTTCTCCATCCTATCAATGGATAGGAGAGGGGGTGAAGGACCAAATCCAGGTCCTGACACTGACGGAGCCATCTCCCTGGCTCCCATAATCACTTCTGATATCTAACATACAATTATCACTTGAGAATAAAGGATGAGAAGGACATGGTGGCATACACCTTTCATCTTAGAACTTAAGAGGCCGATAGAGGCAGGAGGATCAGGAGTTCAAGATTACTCTTGGCTGCATAGAAGTGCACTCAAGGCACTTCTGGGCTACATAAAATTATGTTTCAAAATATATATATATTTATATATATATAAAATCCCCACTACTAGTAATAATAATAAAAGGAGTAAGTTGAATTCAGTACTTGACATCTGGATCTTCTCCATATAGAAACTTTTTTTGTTGTTGTTGTTGTTTTTTTTTTTTTTTGAGACAGGGTTTCTCTGTGTAGCTTTGGAGCCTGTCCTGGAACTTGCTCTGTAGTCCAGGCTGGCCTCGAACTCACAAGATCTGCGTGCCTCTGCCTCCCGAGTGCTGGGATTAAAGGCGTGCACCACTACTGCCTGGCGAAACTTCTTAATTTTCATACTAAGCACATCCAATAAGGTAACTTGTGACTACATAAAAACAGGGATTCTCAAATACTTAATATGATTTTTTTTTGCCATGAATTCAACATAGGAAAGAACACATCTATTTTTGGCTAAATGGTAGACGAAGATTCCAGATGAGATGGTGGGTGGTAGAAGGCATGGTAATGTATAAAGAGTAGGAAATATTTTTAATATTCTTAAACTCAATTTTCTACCTTTATTCATGCACTCTTTTTTTTTTTTTTTTAAGATCAGGCTGGGCTCGGACTCACAAAGATCCCCTGGCTCAGGGTTTAAAGTGCTGTGCCACTGCCTCCCGGCCATGTACTCTATTTGAACTTAGGCTAATGAATTGTTAGAGAAATGCTCGTCGGGAATAATAGAGTTTACGTATACTTTGATGATGCCATTTGCCTGTAGAGCTTTAAATCATCATCAGATGGTCTGTTTGTCCATGGTGGCTCTAACACACTTTGAAACATTTTCCTAAGTTGGGTCAACACTCCTTTTCCAATTTCAGTTGTACCAAAGGTAATTCAAGAGAGCAGCGCTAGCCTGGGAGCTATACCTGCTCTGCTCACATGGTCACAGAGACCAACCCTTCTTAGTCACCAGGGCCAGCTCATGTCCAGACAGCACCTTCACCCCAATCTCAGGCTGCCTTTCCCTTTTACTTTAGACTTTATTTTCCCCCTTTCTTTTTAAAATTTTGTTGCCGGGATCAAGTCCAGGGCCTCACATGTGCTAAGCAACTGCTATAGCACTGAGTGGTACCCCCGGCCCCACATCCTTCCCATAGTCGCTTCTTAGCCTTGCAGCTGTCCACTTAATCAGTCATAAAACTCGAGTGATTGTTTTGTGCAAGGTCCTGTTCTAGGTGGTAAATATGCTTATTGTAATTAATTATATACTATTAATTATTATTAATATCCTTATTAATGAAATTATATCTCAGAGGACAGAAAGACAATGAAAAATACATCTGCAAATACATCATTTTAGGTATAGATTTATGTGCCAAAAGAAAACATAAAGCAGGACAGAGGTTGGAGCAAAGAAGGCAGCTGTTTTGGCCAGTAAAGGAAGCTTTCACCTTTCTGAAGGGAAGCATTGGAGCTGGGATCTAGACAACTGTGAAGAAGTGGGTCCTGGGTGTGTCTGCAAGAAAACAGCTCTGAACGGTAGAAAACATGAGTAAGATATCCTCTTACAGGAGCAGGCGTGCACCCTATTATAAAGACTCCCGACTCAGGCTCCTGAAATACCTCCTTAATCTAATCTCTATGAACCCTGCTTCCTGGGTCCTACACCCCAACTTCCTCTCGCTCACACCAAGTTCCCTTTCTCTCATAGTGGCGTACTACAAACAGTGAACCAATATGGTTCTTTACAATGCTGCCACTTGTGATGGAAGGAACAGTAGGAAGAAGAACAAAAGAACCAAACCAATAACCACGCCCTTCAAAGCAGCCATGTCATGTACACGAAGAGGCAAATTCATTTGCACCTCCTGCCCATATCATTTCAATGCCTCCTAAAACGTGTGCTTGCTCTTATCCCTTCTCTCTCATCTACCCTCTGTCTTCATAAAGGCCAGTCAAGTCAGGCACCGTGTGGCTCAAACTCTCCAGTGATTCTCTCCTGTGACGGCCTCACTGGGCCTGGGGTACCCACTGCCATCTTTCTCATCTCATCTCATACCACCCGTTCTGCTTTTCACGAATTGCCGTTTCATCTGTTCTGGAAACGATTCTCTCATCCTAACCCCCGACTCCCAGCAGCTTGGTGGACTCACTCCTCTTCCAGTAGCTGCTCAGACTTTCTTCCTTCTTGGGCTCAATCTTGGTCACACTAGTTAACCTGTAAGCCCCTGGCTACCTCTTCCCCATCATCCCTTGTAAATAGCTCTTTTCCTTTGTTCTAAGGCATTTATCACTTTTTATCATACCGTTGGATTTGATGTTCTATCTTTATTATCTGCCTTTCAGCTTTTAGGTATAAATTTCCCTGAGGGCTTGGATCATTGCATTTTTTTCACTGATAGATTATATTCTAAGCCAGTAGAACAATGCTTAGCCATGCATAATAAATTGATTGAATACATTAATCAATATACTTATAAATACCCAGGTTGCTTTAAGTCGGCTTTCTTCTCTTTACTGGCCATGAGGAGACATTAGTCATTCCTTAAAGCTTTGCACGTTGTAAGTACTTAGTAAATTAAGTAAATGATTTGCCTTTTTGCTTAACACAAATAGTTTAGCAGTACGTGTGCCCAGGGAAAACACTGAGATAGACTGAAAGGCTCGGGGTAGTACTCCAGCCGAGGCCAGAGCAGCTGCTCGGCCTGCGCTTTTGATAACCGTTTGGCTTGCAAGTTCTGCTTTGGCAAGAGTTTCCAGGACCACTCTTCTGGTATCACACCGTAAAAAGAAAAATTAGTATTAGTTTGAGTGGTTCCTAAAGGAAAGATCCGGTGAGAGACTGTAAGATTGCTATTTCAATTCTTTTGACCCGCACATGCAACTTACAGGCGTCAGAATCTGCTGCAATAGTCATAAAATTAAGAACCATCATGGTTCTTCTCGATGGTTACAACGACAATCTTTAGGTACGGTTGTGTTGCTTCTGGTGTCTCTGTTGTCTGGTTGTTTTCTGTTACATGTGTTATGAAAATGAAAAGTAAAATAATGCAAGTTTTGAAAAATTAATAAAAAATGGGTCTGAGGAGATGGCTTAGTGGGTCCAGGTGCTTGCTGTGCAAGCCAGGTGACCCGTGTTTGATCTCCAGACCCAGGTAAATGTGGACGGAGAAAACTGATACCTGAATGTTGTTCTATGATCTGCTCTCCACATGTGTGACACGGCACATGCATCTCCTCAGTAATGCTGTGGGATGTTCTGTATGCTGTGAATATGTATTGCTCTGATTGGTTGACAAATAAAACACTGATTGGCCAGTAGCCAGGTAGGAAGTATAGGTGGGATAAGCAGACAAGGAGAATTCTAGGAAGAGGAAAGCTGAGTCAGGAGACACCAGCCTGCCATCCAGGGAGCAGCACATAATGGCACACAGGTAAAGCCACGGAATACATGCGACATATAGATGAACAGAAGTGGGCTGAGTTTAAGTGTAAGAGCTAGTCAGTGGTAGGCCTGAGCTAATGGCGGAGCGGTTTTAATTAATATAAGCCTGTGTGTGTCTATTTGGGTCTGAGCTGCCGCGGACTGGCAAGACACAGGTAAACTTTCAGTTACAATAATAAAATAAAAATTTAAAAATGATGATAGTGTATGTCATCTATTTACTTGGCCAGTTCAAATGCTGTGGTGGTGTACTAGATTTGCAGCCTCCTTCCTTTCTTTTTTTTTTAGGATTTATTTTCTAGCTATGGTGGCACACGCCTTTGATCCCAGCACAGGCAGAGGTAGGAGGAGCTCAATGAATTGGAAGGCTAGCCTGATCTACATAGTGAGTTCCACCTCAGTTCCATGGTGAGACCCTGTGTCAAAAAAAAAAGCTTATTATTTTATATGTATGAGCATTTGTCCTGCATGTATGTATGTGACTAGTGTCTGCATCCATGTGTGTGCCTAATGCCCATGAAGGTCAGTTGAAGGTGTTGGATACCCGGGGACTGGAGTTACGGATGGTTGTGAACTGCCATGTGGGTGTTGGGAATCAAACTCCAGTCCTCCATAAGAGCAACAAGTGATCTTAACCATTGAGCCAACTCTCTAACCTCAAAATGTTTTATTATAAGAAAGATAAACATTTAAACAGCCTGGGGATAAAAGGATGGCTTAGTAGTCAAGAATGCCTACTGCTCTTTCAGAGGATGTGGATTCAGTTCCCAGCACCCACTCTGGTGGCTTATAACCACCTGTTAATTCCAGCTTCAGGGGACCCAATTCCTTTTTCTGGCCTTACTGGGCATATGCGCTCAGGTGCACATACCTACACCCTACATATACACAAAAATAGATCTCTAAAAATTCAAATTATGTTACCTAGAAGTTCAATAATTCCTAAATGAATGTCAGTATATCCATCAGTTAACAGGCAGGATCTGTGTTGGTAATATTTTATTAGGACTTCAAAGAGAATCTTCTTTTGAATATTCTGTCTTGTCGATTCAGTTTTGCTTTGCCCTAACAGCTGACTAAGAGTACCAATGAACTGGTCAGGGAAATATTCCAGTCAATTGCTGTAGTAAGCTAGTCCTTGGTCCTGGAAGAAAAATGCACCACAAAATAAGTCCATAGTTAGCATTTACTTTGAGCTTGGGCACAGTTGGCTGAAACCCAACAAAATCAAGCTTATCTTTAAATCCAAGGAAGAAACTGTTTTCTGAGAGCGAGTGTCTCTCTATTACAATGGTTCTCAACCCCTTTAGGGGTCAAATGACCTAAGTCACCTAAGACCACTGGAAAACACAGATATTTATATTAAGATTCATAACAGCAAAATTACAGTTATGAAGTAGCAACAAAAATAATCTTATGGTTGGGGTCACCACAGCATGAGGAACTGTATTAAAGGGTCACAGCATTAGGAAGGTTGAGAAGCACTTCTCTAGAACATTTTACTGAACAAATGACAGAGAAAATGGCTTTTCCCCCCCAAATAACCAACACACATCTGCATTCCTACTATATTTTTAGAACTGAAAGCACTTTTATTTATTTTTATTTATGGTCACTTTTTATTATTTCTTTTCAATTTTGTTAGATTGTGTTTAATGTTTTCTCTTCCAATCCGTCAGTGGCTCTCCTTCTCTTTCCTGGACATGGATGTACTTCTGTTATTATCTGAAAATAAGAGACAGGTTTCGCTCCCTTTTATTTGTGATGCTTGGAACTGGAGGTAGTTTAGATCTTGGAGTTTTTCAAATGTGGAAATATTTGCACAGATTTCCAGCATCATGACAGTCTGTAAATTTTAAGTTTTAGAAAATTTCAGATTCTTAGACCAACATGTATCATACTGCTGTGGGATGTTCTGTATGGCAAATGTGTTGCTCTAATTAGTCAATAAATAAAACACTGATTGGCCATTGGCTAGGCAGGAAGTGTAGGTGGGACAAGGAGGAGAATAAAGCTGGGAAGTGGAAGGCTGAGTCAGAGAGACACTGCCAGCCGCCACGATGACAAACAGCATGTGAAGATGCCGGTAAGCCACAAGCCACGTGGCAAGGTATAGAATACTGGAAATGGATTAATTTAAGCTGTAAGAACAGTTAGCAAGAAGCCTGCCACGGCCATACAGTTTGTAAGCAATATAAGTCTCTGTGTTTACTTGGTTGGGTCTGAGCGTCTGTGGGACTGGCAGGTGAGAGAGATTTGTCCTGACTGTGGGCCAGGCAGGAAAACTCAAGCTACATCATACTTTCCCACAATCCCAGACCTATAGTTTAGCTTAATATTTTCTCTTTGCCTACTTAACCCAATAACATGAGAACTCAGGAGCCAGCCACTCACTCCCCAGTCTCCTGTAACTCAAAGACTGTAGGAGGTCTTTAATCCCTTTCTCTACATCTGTTGCCCTTCCAGCCCAGAGATACCATATACCTCCTAGGGTGGTTGAGATAGCTTGGTATTTCTCTTAAGATTATTAGCATCTAGTTATTATATAACACCTGTATTATTCTTTAACTTTTGCACATCCCCACAGTCTTAACCATATCTACTGGGAATGCCTGTGTGCATACACAGTGGGCAAGAAGCAAAAACAGACAATAGAGCAAAGACATCGCCTCCTGGTTTTTCTGCCTCTTCTCATCTTTCCCCATCTTGGGGCTCTCGTTACTTATTTGTACTCTGACTAAAGTATTTCCTCAAACATTTTCTTTGAATGGAGTCCTGAATGATATATAATTTTCTTTCCTTAGCTGGGATCAAACCCAGGACCTCGTGCATGTTAGGCATACACTCTTACTTCTGAACTATGCCCCCAACCCTCTGTGAATTTGTATCCTTGAGTATCTATTCCTCCCCCACTTCCTTCTCTCCTAACAGATGAAAACAGTGCACTCTCATGATATGTGGGATTCATTATCTTCTAGGTCTTGGGATCACAGATGAGGATTGTAAGGACAGTTTGATTGCCTTCTCTTTCAGATAACCTCTCTTTTCAAACTAGATGCTAACGGAAGCAGACTTCAGAGGCATCTGAAACCCACTCTTTTTGGTACCCCTATGCTATCCCTGGCTCAGAGGCAGGGGAGACCCAGACCTTTGTTTGGGGCTTTCTTGTCCTCTTCCGAAATAGAGAAATCTTCCATATGTGAGCAGGATGGCCGTCAACTATGTGGTTCCACAAATCTTCCACCACCACATCCTTCCCAGATCTGAAACTTTACTGGTTCCTCAGCTTTGGAGGTTTATTTCTCATTTGGTTCACATGGGAAAACATGTTAGCACTCTGCTGGAATCCCAACCAAAGCCAAGGTTCTAGTATCTCCCAGCTACTGGTTTACTAGAAACAACAAATCTCTTAGAATTGGGAGCAAAATGAAGATGGTCTCATTCAGATTATAGGTCTCCTCCTGGGACTCTTCTCCATGAAGGAGGCTGGTTTGATGGCAGTCTCAGGAGACTGCATTGTTTTCTTTCATGTCTACCACCTCTACTAGACTGGATTCTTGTGGGGAGAGAATAAACAACCTAGTAGAAACTGTGATGGTCACGTTATTTTAGCATCATAAAATGAACATGATAAATTTGGATGATGTGGGAGAGGATGGAACCACACACATGAATCCACTCTGATTTCTTTTTTTTTTTTTTTTTTTTTGGAAGGTTCTACATTTTTTTTTTTTTTTTGAAAATGACTGTTATATTTATTTTGGAGTCAAATAAGAGGGTTCTACATTTTATTACTGGACAAACTACTCCCCCAACTTAAAACACGACCAAGTCTTCAGGTTAAAATGTTGAACTCCACGTGGTAGGATTGCTTGATGACCCACAATTCAGTATAAACTGTCTTGCCATTGTGTGAATCCTTACAGACCCAGCTTTGTTCTCCTCCAGTGTCTTCTCTTGGAGTTGTATCTTATTTTGTTACCAGTTTTCATCCGAATCCACTGAGGAATGGGACGATTTTGCTTTTGTTTCTTGGCCAGGAATCGCTTGATTCTGAAAGTCTTGTGAGAAGACATGGTGAGAAGCCAAGTCAGGAGCCCCCCACTCTGATTTCTAATGATCTCATACTTCATAGCCAGTACTGGCTTTGTTAGGTAAAATGAAAATTCAGATTTCCCCTTTTACTTTCTTTCTATCTATCCTTCTTCTCCTCCTTCTCTTTTCTTCTCTTTCTCCTTTTTTTTCTCTCCCTCCTCCTTTTTTGTTGACAAGGTCTTGCTCTGTAGACCAGGCTGGCTTCACACTCACGGAGATCTGCCTGCCTTTGCCTACTGAGTGCTGGAATTAAAGGTGTGCTCCCAGCTGAAAAGTCAGTTGTTAATTCATAAACCAGAGATGAGATCAGCTTGTACTACAGATATATTCTCATATCTTAAAGTACCGAGGACAAACACATGGACGAGTATTTTAGTTATGAATTATTTGACAATGTATAACTTTGGCTACTCACTCAGGTAGACTTAAGTTGGGAATCACCTCCCTCTCTCGCTGTGTGACAGAAATGACAAGATCTTCCTCTTTCCTTAGCTGGGAAGTCTGCAGTTCAACTGGGGGCGCCAAGGTGTTTTCACAGAGTAGAAAGTGAACACATTGAACAGGGTGCGATGACATTTGTTATTTCCCGACCTCCTTCACAGGGGAGGGAGAAATCAAGATTAACAAATAAAAACACACGTCCAAACAATATAATAAAATTATTCCATTTCTAAACTATTGTTTAGAAAAGTGACTTTACGAGTAATGTAATGAATTTTTTTTGTTTGTTTGTTTATTTGGTTTTTCGAGACAGGGTTTCTCTGTGTAGCTTTTGCACCTGTCCTGCTCTGTAGACCCAGCTGAATTTTCTTTTTTTTTTTTTTAAATGGATGTTATATATGAAGACTTTTTTTACATTTATTTATTTATTATGTATACAATGTTCTGCCTGCATGTATGTCTGCATGCCAGAAGAGGGCACCAGATCTCATTACAGATGGTTGGGAGCCACCACATGGGTGCTGGGAATTGAACTCAGGACTTCTGGAAGAACACCCAGTGCTCTTAACCTCTGAGCCATCTCTCCAGCCCCCTGAATTTTCTTATGCTAGGGAAAATTTAAATTTGTTGATAGACACAATAAAGAAAATGGCCCAACCCATGTGTCTTAGGGTTTCTATTGCTGTGAAGAGACCACAGTAACTCTTACAAAGGAAAACATTTAGTTGACACCATGATCACTGTAAGTCTTATAAAGGAAAACATTTAACTGGTGCTGGTTTACAGTTGCAGAGTCCATTATTGTCATGATGGGAAGCATGGCAATACGTGCAGGCAGACATGATGCTGGAGAAGAAGCTGAGAGTTCTACATCTGGACCTGCAGGCAGCAGGAAGTGACTGAGACATACTTCCTCCAGCAAGGCCACACCTCCTGATAGTGCCACTCCCTATGAGTCTATGGGGGCAACTTCCTTTCAAGCCACCACACCATGTTTTACATTGTAGAAAATATATTCTGCAAACTGAACTCTCATAAAGCAACAATATAAACATGTTATTCATACCTGAGTGCAAATAGCTACCTCTGAAGAGAGAAGATGGGTGAGGGGAAAAGCATAAACAATGGTTCTTTTTTTAAAAAAATAAAACCAGTAGGCCTTTCTGAATGCTTTAGATCATGTGCATATATAACAAAGATGAAATAAAAATATTTCATAAACCACACCAGCATGACCATTTTCCTTCCGTCTCTGCCTTCTTTCCTTCCTTCCTTCTGTCCCCTTTTCAATGCAATACTTTTGATTCCCACTTTCCCAAACTAAAATAAGAGTTGTGCCCCTCATCTTATGGGTCTACTGTGAAATTATAAATATAAAATGTGTAAGACATTGTTTAGCACAGAGAAAGGGTCAATAAGTAGAAAGTAGTAATGTGTGTTCTAACAAATTATATCCAACTTTACTTAAGCATTTCTAGACGATCTCCATGCCCTCAAGAGGGAGTCATAGGAAAAGTTATTTTGTCTTTATTTAATGTTTTGGTTATATTCGGGATTGAAACTAGATCGTGCTGGGCAACTGCTCTGTCTTTAGTAAAAAAAAAAAAAAAAACAAACAAGAACTTACATTTCACTAGTAAGCAAATTTCCTTTCATCTTTAATAAATGGTAAAATCACAGTATAGCAAATAACTTTAAAAATATATCTATTATTAACAGTAAAAACCTGATTTTTATACTATATTTTGTGTCCTTGTATGGTAGTTTGAATGTATTTGACCCCCATAAGCTCATAGGGAGTGACACTATTAGGAGGTGTGATCTTGTTGGCATGAGTATAGCCTTGTTGGAGGAAGTGTGTCACTGTGGGGGCGGGCTTTGAGGTTTCCTATGCTCAGGATACGGCCCAGTGAGTCAGTCAACTTCCTGCTGCTTTCTAGGCAAGATGTAGCCAGCACTACGTCTGCCTGCACTTCTCCATGCTCCCTGTCAGGATGACAATGGACTGATCCTCTCAAACTGTAAGCTGCCTCCTCAATTCAATGTTTTCTTTGTAAAAGTTGCCATGGTTGTGGTGTCTCTTCACAGCAATAAAAACCCAAACCAAGACATTTTGTATATCCAGGGTTGTAGCTAGAGTTTTCCTGCCTGGTCCATGGTCAGGGCAAATCTCTCTCACCTGCCAGTCCCACAGGCACTCAGACCCACCCAACCAAGTAAACACAGAGACTTATATTGCTTACAAACTGTATGGCCGTGGCAGGCTTCTTGCTAACTGTTCCTACAGCTCAAATTAATCCATCTCTATAAATCTATACCTTGCCACATAGCTCGTGGCTTACCAGCATCTTCACATGCTGTTTGTCATCATGGCGGCTGGCAGTGTCTCTGACTCAGCCTTCCACTTCCCAGCTTTATTCTCCTCCTTGTCCCACCTATACTTCCTGCCTGGCCACTGGCCAATCAGTGATTTATTTATTGACCAATCAGCAACGCACTTGACATACAGACCATCCCACAGCACAGGGTAGTGCAAAACTTTCTTTTATGAAGAGGGGTCATGGATGCTAAGGCTTTAAATACCAATATACTCTAAATACCAGTCTTCCTTTGAGTCTCTTCTAGTTCCTTCTTCCTTCCCTACACAACTTCTTTGGGCACCCTGCGTATTTTTGATTCTGTGATGATTTGGCAAAATGCAATAAAGGTTGTAACCATTAATGAAACATAGCTGTATCTTTCCTGACTGTCCATGGTGGTCTGGATGAAAATGGCCTCCTTAGGCTCATAGGGAGTAGCACAATTAGGAGGTGTGGGTGGCCTTGTTGGAATAGGTGTGGCTTTGTTGGAGGAAATGTGTCATGGGAGGGTGTTGAGGGGGGTGGGAGGGTGGAGTGGGGGGTAGCTTTGAGGTTTAAGAAGCTCAACTCACTTATTCTTTCTGACTCACTCTTCCTTCCTGCTGCCTGAGGACCCAGCTGTAGAACTCACAGCCCCTTCTCCAGCACCGTGTCTGCCTGCACTCCGCCACGCTTCCTGCCATGACAATAGTGGACTAATCCTCTGAACTGTAAGCCAGCCCCGTTAAATGTTTTCTTTGATAAGAGTTGCCGTGATCATGGTATCTTTTCACAGCAATAGAAGCCCTAACCATGACACTGCCCCAGTGATTGTGTGTGTGTGTGTGTGTTTCTTTCCACGATCAGTAGCATGACAAGGATTGAAAGACAAGTAGATGAAAACATGAGTGAAACCACAGATAGCCTGGATACATTGCTCTGAGAACAGGAAAGAGAAATGCATTTTTTTTTTTTTTGGAGGAGTTTATACAATGGACAATGGATATATTCACAAGGATGGTCTTAGATCACAAAGATTAAGATCTGGGATTGAGTCTGTTTGTTTCTGTTGGGAGAATAGACAAACTTCTGGTTTAGCTGGTTATGTCTTTTGTTAAAGTAAACAGGGCTCTGGGGCCATGTTGCTTTACCTGTGTTGCCTGATGTAATCACTATGTAGGGCACAGACGCAGAATCAGCACATCACACACACTAATTTTAGCACATCTAAAAAGCCAGTTCTGCTAAACAGTCAAATATTAGTGGTTGCTAGGAGTTAAATGAAGAGAGGCATGAGTGGGTGAAGTGCAGAGGGCTTTTAGGACAGTGACAGGAGTATCTGCGACAGCATAGTATGGCTACATGCCATTCTATATTGGTTCACATCCATACAGCATAGAACACCAATCACGGACTCTCATGTGAACTATGGGCTTTGAGTGATAATGACATGCCATGTAGTTCATTACTGTTAACGAATGTGCCACTCTGGTACAGTACAGGGTACTGACAGTAGGTGTTGTAGTTTGAATATGAAATGTCTCCCTCAGACTCCCATGTGAATTGCTTGTTCCTCAAGTGATGAAACTATATTGGGAGGTGCTGGGAACTTTCGAAGGTAGAGCCTCGCTGGAAGCAGTGGGTGACTGGGGTATGCCTTTGAAGGTTATGCCCAGTCTTTGGTCCCCTCCTCTCTGATTCCTGTCCACTGTGAGGTGAGCAAGCCTCCTCTGGCACATGTTATTGCACGCATGGTTTTCTGCCTCAGCACACATGCAGAATCAATGCAGCTGAACACCAAGACTGGAATCTCTCAAGCCATGGTTGAGAGTAAATATTCTCACCTTTAAGTTATGCTTTTGGGTATTTTGTTCACATCAATAACAAGACTAACTAATACAGCGGGATAGGGGTTAGCAATAAATGTGAAACTTCCACTCGATTTGGCTTTGAACCCAAACTGATCTTAAAACTCCATTTAATAAAAGTCATTCTTCCTTATAAAGTTCTGAAAAAACTAACAACAAAACCCTGATAGTTCATTCCTTCTTTAGGAAGTTGGAGAGCAGTGTGTGAGCTATGGCGTTTGGAGGGTACAGCTTGGTCTCCACTGGTTGTATGAATAAGGCCCCCAATCCTTTCCTCATCAGTTTCCTGTGCTAGAGGATTTTAAATAATTTCTTCTTCTGGCCTGTGAAAAGAGAACTTAGGAATTTTGAATCACAACTTCAAATCTAAGTTTTAATTTAATAAAATTGATTTATATATCCCTCATTTTCAAAAGAATTAAGCAATCTACAACAGCATATACAGCTATTAACTTTATTAAATTATCATCAAAAAGACAGATTAGGCTTCAAAATAAAGGGTCAGTGTATTTAATAGTTCTAAGGTTAACACAGTCAGTATGATAGAGTTGATTACTGCTCTGAGCCTTTAGAGAACCTTGGCCATGTCAGTTTTAAAATGAGAAACATAAAACATAAAGTTTCTCAGTATAAATTTTAAGCAGTGTGTGTAATATGTCTCCCATGATACCACTAGGAGGGACATGGGAGAAAGTGTGGTGATCTGTCCCCCATGATAGCATTAGAGGGACTACAGAAGAGTGTGTGTGTGCGTGTGTGTGTGTGTGTGTGTGTGCGTGTGTGTGTGTGTGTGTGTGTGTGTGAGAGAGAGAGAGAGAGAGACAGAGAGAGACAGAGACAGAGAGACAGAGAGAGATCCTCCAAATAACAGGAGAAAGTGTGGTGATCTGCCCCCCATGATAGTGTTAGAGGGAATTCAGAAGAGAGTGTGTGTGTGTGTGTGTGTGTGTGTGTGTGTGTGTGTGTGTGTGTGTGTGTGTCTTGCTTAAAGTTTGCTGAAAGGACCTGGAGAGATGGCTTAGTGATTAAGAGAACTAGCTGCACTTCCAGAAGACCTGAGTTTGTTTCCCAGCATCAACATCAGCCAGCTCACAACTGTCTGTAACTACAGCTCCAGGGGATCTGACATCCTCTTCTGGCTTCTGTGGGTATTGCCTGCCCCCCACGTACGGTAGCCGGAAGTTTCTCCAGTCCTGCCTGGCCCCGTGGTTGGGACAAATCTCTCCCACCCACGTCCAGCAGCTGCTTGGTCTCAAGTAAACACACAGAGGTTTATATTATTTACAAACTGTGTGGCCTATGGGTCAGGCTTCTTGTTAGCTAGCTCTTATAACTTAACCTATTCCTATTAATCTACATGTTGCCACATGGCCATGGTGTTACCGGTCTGCTGGCATCTTGTGGCTCCTTGGGTGGTGGGCTGGCATCTGCCTTTACTCTCCTTTCTGTTCCTGTCTCTTCCATTCCAATGTCCTGCCTAACCTTATTCTGCCTTGCCAATTGGCCAAACAGAGCAGCACATATTCACAGCATACAGAAACACGTCCCACAGCACTTCCCCTTTCTGTCTAATCAAAAAGGAAGGTTTTAACTTTAACATAGTAAAATTACATAGAATAAAACAGTTACCAAGCAAGAATTACAGTTACAATATCCAGTGGACAGTGGTCCCTGCAGACTCATCTGGTGAGAGTGCTGAGAATAAGCCCTTAACAGGACATCTATCACCTGTCCCCTGTCCCCCAAGGCTCAGAATACATAATAGAAGAGGGGAAAGAAAGAGTGTAAGAGCCAGAGGATGGGGAAGAGTGCAGTGGAACCTTATCTTCCAGAATGACATGGCTGTATTCATGAACTTAGCTGTGGCTACCCTCACAAGATCTGCAAAGGATTAGGCTTGCCAACAAGGATCCCTTCAAAGTGTTCAATTCAGTGTTTCTCAGTGCATTGGCAACATTGTACAATCACCTCTATCATCTAATCCCAGACCATTTTATCACTCCAAAAGAGACCCATGTTTAACATAGTGATTCACTTGTCCCCCCCACCCCAATAAATTTTGAACTAAAAGAAAATTAAAAATGAAAAAGGAGTAAGTTGAAAGATACAGAACATTATTTCTGGATGTTTTGGGTGTAGAACACATGAATCTAAGCCCTTCCTTCCTTGACTATGAAGAATTAGAAGCAGTGTTGCCAACATACAATAAGATATATGATGCTCATGACAAAATGACAGGAATTAAAGTCCATCACTTTGGGGCTGGAAAGATAGAGCTCAGCTAGTGAAATGCTTCTCTTCTAAGCATGAGGATCTGAGTTGAATCTCTTGAACCCACATAAAAAGCCAGGGTTGGTGGTGAGAGCTTCTAATTTCAGAGCTGGGGAGATGGAGAAAGGCAAAGCTCCAAGTTGTATTGAGAGACTCTATCTCAGAAAACAAGGACAGCACCTGAGGAACACCACCTGAGGTTAACCTCTAGCCTCCTGCATATCTGGCAAGAACACATACAGTTGTACACACACAAACATATAAATACACCTGGGCAGCGCACACACATACACACGCACGCACGCACACACTCCATCATCTTCAAATTCTTGTAATAGAAGCTGTCCTCTTGCCCATCTTAAGACATTTTAGCCTGAAAGATAGGCAGAGCAGAGACAGGGGAGACAGAGGCCAGCATGAGGGTAGTGGGACTACGGAGGGGCTACCTGAATGGGTAGCGGGGAGACTGAGAGGCTGTGAGCAGTGAAGTCCAGGTATATTTTCGGAACAATTTACCTCTTTCATCAAGCAAGTAGGATAAAGAGTCCTGGTTGCTCTAATTGTGGAACAGCGGCACTGGGGTAATCTGAGAACTTCGCAGAAACGCAGAATATCCGATCCTACCTCTGCATCAGAATGTGCATTTCAACAGGGCCCCGTGTGAGGAGCACGGCTTTCCTGAAGTTCTAAGGGCACTTTACAAAAGTAAGAGAGAAGGCTGAGTGCTCAGTACCCAGTCCCTAGACCTGCGAGGACAGATGGCTTGGGAAACAAGAAAGGGGTGGGGCCCGAACCGGAGCTGCAGAGTCCAACCAACCAGCCGCTTCTGTCACCCATTTCCATTATGCATTTGGCTACCTGTCCTCGCTTTCTTGGAGAATCCCCTTCTATGGCTCCGGAAACTTGGCCTGCCCAGCCTGGGCCTGGGAAGTTCGTCCAGTCTTCCAAGTCTTCTGAACCCGAGAGTTAAAAGTAGGGCGGTTGGCGGACGCCCGGGCTCCGCCTCCGGCCCGGGAGCCCCGCCCCCACCGCCTCGCGGGGGCGGAGGGAAACCAAGCCCCTCCCCTTCCGAACCACCCGGAAGTGACGTCATGTAGGAGCGGGCAGGTCTTTCGGTGCTCTTTCCCCTCCGGTGCTCTTCCTCCCCGGTCCCTTCCCTCCCTTTCCCCCTTTACTCCTCGGTCTCGGGGTTCTGCGGCCGCGGGAGTGGCGGAGGAGATGGAGTAAGCGTTCGGTGGCGGCCAGGCGCGCGGCCCGAGCAGCCACAGCCCGGAGGCATTGAGGGAGCGGGCGGGGGACGGGCCCCAGCACCGCCCCTCCAGGTAGCCGGCTGCGAGGTGAGTGACCCACCGATCGCGGGCGCCGGGCGACCCGGGTCTGCGGCCAGCAAGTGGGCTACGGCCTCCCCGAGCCTCGCGGCTAGCGACTGTTGCCTAGTGACGGGCCGGGTCGAGCGGGCCGGCGGTGGGTGGCCCGGGAAGACCGACCCAGGTAGCGACAAGCAGGAGGGAGCGGATCTCAGAGGCCGGTGACTCCAGGCGAGGCCTTCGGGCGACGGGAGACTCGGTGCCGGGGTCGCCGGCCCCTGGGAGAGTTCCCCGAGCCGGAGCAGGAGCTCGGGTTTCCGCGGTGGAGATCTCGTTATCCTTTTGGGAAATTGGACACTGCACCGGGACTGGTGAGACAGGCCCCCTTGTTTCTGAGACTCGGTTCTGGTAACCTGGGTCACCAACTAAGGCCCCCCGCACTCCGCTCGCCCTTCTCTGACGGTAGTTGTCTTTCTGGACTGGACGGTTATTGTGTGTGAGGTGGGTGGGGCAGATAAGGTTTGTGAGAATAAAATCCCCATCGGGGGCTCCAGTGCGCTTGTTTGTTTAAGCTACAGAGAAAGGATAAAGGTTTAGACAGATAAAGCTTGCAGAAACTTCTTGGGATTCAACTGGACACGTTCCCTGTGATCAGTAATTAAGGCCACCACTGTTACCAAATCTACCTCTCTAACAGGATTGATGAGACTCCAGGGCAGCGACTTACAAGTGATTTGATTGTAAGTTCCAGCTGTGGTTTTTGCACATCAAATCCAGGGATTGTGTGGTGACACTTTAAAAAGCTTTATTTAAGTTATCTACGTAGTATGACTCTGTTTGGAAGAAGTAATTTAACAAAAATGCTGCAAGTCAGTCAACCATTGCCTGACTGGTGATTGCTAGAAAGATTCCTTTTCGTCTTTGAAGGCTTTTCCCTCCTTAATAAAGGCTGGAGGAGAAGGGGGTTGTGTAAGGGAAAGGAACCCAACTGAAGATATGGGGCTTTATTCTGTTCAGATATACCTTACTCATGTGGGAAAATTCTTCATTTTGTCTGTAAGAGCCGTAAACAACTAATACTCATGTGTTGTAATTCCACACAATAGGACATTGCCATACAAATCCATTCTGTATTTGGAAATGATACTATTTTGACGTAATTGAAATTTGTGATCTATCCTCTCAAGGAAAAAGTAGGGTCCTCTTACTGTGTTTCTATCCCCTTCTATAGGAGTTGAAATCTGTCAAGTCTCTATCATGCCTATTTCTCCATTTCCTATGAAATCCTATTGACTTTACCTTTTAAACATTTCTCGAGTTCTCATTGTCTTCATCTTAAGCATTACCTTCTAGTTCTATGCACCATCATTTCTCTCCCACTCCATTAAGTCTCTAGCATCTAGAGTTGTTAACTCTTGGAGTTTCTATGATAGAATCGATATTTTCAAACTATAGATCTGATCCCAATTGCTTCTTCTCATTGGTTCTAGAATTACCTGGAAAATTTTTGCTCTGTAAAGCCCTGCACAGCTGTCCCCTCTGTGTGCTCTTCCAGCTTCATCTCTACAACTGCCTTTGGCATTCTTTTCCTCCCTTGTCACTGTCTCTACTGTCTTGTCTTTCTGTTCCTCCTTCCAGTATGTGGCTATTGGTTATACTTCCCAGCAGTGACCACGAGAGCCTGGAGATGCTCTTTTTTTCCTATGCTTCCGGTTAATGCCTGTTATCATATTGTTCACTTCAGGGAGACTTGATCAGTATAAATTCTCCTCACTAGGTGTTCTCAGGACACCATCTCAGGGTTCCTGTAGTTTTGTCCCTCATCTCCTGATATGGCATGAATGTTTGTTAAACGAGTGAATTCGCTGAGTGCTTACTAAGTGCACTAGAAATGTACTAAGTAGTCTAGTTGTATTATTATCTTTAATAACCACAGCAGTCATTAGGAAGTGTGGGTGACTTTCCCTCCCTTTTCAAAGATTAGAAATTAGGTTAGGTAGACTAATGTATTAGTTGGGGTTCAAAGTATATTATAAAGACGATTATTAGGTTGGCTTCCTCAATAGTAGCTGGGCAGTTCCAACATTGGCCGTATGCATGCTAGAGTACCTAACCTGGTAGCTGTTCAGTCCCCAGGGCTGCATATCTGTAGGCCCATTCTGGTGTAGGTTTGGAATATTCGTGGAGAGCAGCTTCCTTCAGTCTCCATTGGGAGGCTGAAGAATCTGGGTTCTGCTGTCAGCAGGGAACGGCGACAGCAGTGGCAGCAGCAGGGTAGATTTAGTCGCCTGCGAGGCATGAAAGTGGGCAGGGAAAGTCAGCCCTACTTTACCCTCCCTCCGATCTCTGTAGATCAGGGCTGCTGCTGGAAGGAGTTGCCTACTCCAGGGGGACAGTCTTCATCCCCACAGTTCATTCTTCCACGAAATCCCCTCACATACCCACCTTAGTTGACCCCAGGTCCAGTGATGTTGACAAGCGATGGTAACCATTACACAGAGTAATAGCATTGGTATTGGCTATTGTATACATAAAGCCCTCGATTCTCGTACATTGCTGCGTGTCAGAGTCATCTAGAGAGTTTGATCAAGGCCCAGATGCTCTAAGTGCAGCTTACACACTGCAGTTTACGATTCTATTCTTAGAGTCGGGACAGTCCATAGGATGTGTTCGGTTACCCAGGGATTTAGATGTTTACCAGTTTGGAACCCTTGTGTTGTGGAACTCTTAGGTGTTTCACGAGTTCATTTTCACACATTGTGCTACTTTACACTTCGATTTTTCCCTTTCCTTCCTTCTGTTTTCTTCTCCTCCCTCCTCCCTCTTCCCTCCCTCCCTTTCTTCCCTTCTTCCCCTTCCTTTCCTCCTTTCCCTCCCTCCTGTCCCCTTTCTTTTAAGTTTATACAGAATTTTTTTAAAAATTGCATTGATTTGGTATGTGCATTGTGTGGGTACTTGTGCTATGGTGTACATGTTGGGGTCAGGACAAATTACTGCAGTTGGTTATTTTCTTCCACCATGTTGGTCCTAGGGATGAAACTTGGGTCAAGTTTGGCAGCCTTAGGTTTTTAGGAAGGCTCTCATGTAGACCAGGCTGGCCCTGAACTTAACTGTTTAGCTGAGACAGGACCTGAACTCCTGATCCTTCTGCCACTGGGCATGATGGGTTTCTCTCTCTGTCTCTTCTTCCTCCTTTCCTTCCCTTCTTCCATCTGCCCCTCCCCTCTCCCTCCCTTGCTTTCATCTCCCGACACTGTGTAAGTACAAGTATTTTAATTGTCAAATTTATTTTAAGTAACATTTTTATTGTAATACATTGAACAAAAATGCAAGCTAATGGTAGTTTTTAATACTCTTGGGCAGTAAAGGACTCTAGTTATTTGAGATGTAAGAGTTATTCTAGCATAATGTAATTTTACGTATTACTTTTTTTGGTTGTATCTAGTGTTCATGATCAATTAATTCCCTGTGTAACATGCTACCCACTTTTGCCAGGTGTATATGCAGTCTAGTGTTACATCAGATTGACCTCTTGGTTCCATTGAAGCCAGATGGTAGAGGGAGACAGTCGGGAAGCAAGACTGAAGTTACTTCACTCAGATTCATAGTGACTGAGCTTTAAGTGGCAGGGGGAAGATGGTTGAGTTTCAGGTGACATCTTAGTGGATGTGAAGAAATGGCTTGGAGATGAACAAACATTCCTCTCATTTATAATTTTGTCTTTTAGGAAAAAAATCAGCTCATTTCTCTTCTCATTAATCAAATAAAAATTGAAAAGCTATCATTTTTAGAAAAGATCCAACCTACCTGGGTCAAGTTTCTACCAGGTTAGCACTGCACACTTTTTTTTTTTTTTTTAATTTTTCGAGACAGGGTTTCTCTTTGTAACAGTCCTTGCTGTCCTAGAACTCACTTGGTAGTCCAGGCTGGCCTCGAACTCACAGAGATCCACCTGGCTCTGCCTCCCGAGTGCTGGGGTTAAAGGCGTGCGCCACCACCGCCCGGCCGTGTGTTTTTCCTTGAGTTTCTTTGGATGACCCTTCCCATGGCAACAGGCTTCTGTGCTTACTCATGGTGCTTAAAGTTTTCCCTTCAGTGCAGACACCTGTCTCAGTTTGGGGCTTCTATGTCAAAACCCCTCTATTTCCTTACATTGTCATTTGCACAATTACACAGATCCAAAATTGAGTTCTTCCTCCCCTGCCAACAGTTACACAAAGGCCCTGGCTTGGTAAATGGCCTCTTCTCCACTTGGAGTCTGGAACTGGATTGAAGGTGAAGACTGGGAGTCCTGGCCTTGTCTCGTCCTTTGTGAAGAAGTCACCAGGTTCTTGTCACTCTAAGCAGAACTTGTTTATCTTTTCTTTGTTCTTCCTCACTGCTGTTTCCTTGGTTCAACAGTTTGAAATGTGAAGTGTAACAAAGTTGCATAACGTAGTTATTTCATAATTATAAAAGACATTTCTATGTAGCTAGCCATCTTTGTCTCTGTTTGCACCTGTAGTTTCCTTGGTTCTCTTGGTTTTTTGCCTTCTAAACTGTGTATCATCTCTGAATACATGGTGAAGGTCTCTCCAGCCTTCCCATGCTCCCAGCCTCCACCCAGTGTATCTTCTGCTCTGTTGGATGAATTGATTAGTCATCTACGCAATGCCGGGGAGCCTTCTGTGACTTCTCAGAACCTCCTTTGTTCATATCATTCATTGCTCTGGGTAGTCTGGACTTTCTGGTGTC